TTCACTTTTATTTATATTCTCTTCTGAAGGTAGTTTTTGTTTTCAGTTGAGCCACCATATGGTATTTTTTGTCTGTATAAGTACTTAAAAACGAAGACTAATAATCATGCTGCGTATCAAACACGTAAAATAATGTTTAGTTTTTTTTAAACTTTCAATAGAATTCATTCGTATGCAATTTAATAATGTTCAAATAAGGGTTGTGGGGATGCTTCAAGCAGAAATGTGTCAGGTGGATGTTCTGAATTAGTCAAGTTCCACTCAAGGTGTGATATCCCGTTTGAACACACTGTATTGTGAAACTCCCCTGAATTAAATTTACAGGGAGGTCAGTTGGAGTCGTAAACTCGACATCCATCTCCTCTGTAGACTCGCTCCTGATCTAAATTTACAGGGAGGTCAGTTGGAGTCGTAAACTCGACATCCATCTCCTCTGTAGACTCGCTCCTGAATTGAATTTACAGGGAGGTCAGTTGGAGTCGTAAGCTCGACATCCACCTCCTCTATATACTCAGCGTCAGAACAACAATTAAACGTTGGTTTGCTGACTTCAAACGTGGTCGTAGAGACACCGATAATGCAGCAGTGGACGTCCAAATGAGGCAGTAAGTAACTCCAGAAAACATAAAAAATCACAAAATCGTTTTGGATGCTCGAAATGTGATGTTTCGTGAATTAGCTGACATTGTAAAGATATCAAAAGAACGTGTTGGCTTTATATTGCATGAGCATTGGACTTTGAGAAAGCTCTGTTCAAAGTGAGTGCCGCACTTCACTCCGGAATCAAAACAATCGTTACTGAGTGGAAAGCAACTGGTGAACCTCGTTCAAAGCGCCCGGTATTTTGAGATGTGGGTGGTGTATTATTCATCGACTATCTTGAGAAGGAAAATATCATCAACAGTAAATATTATATAGCGTTGTCAGAGCGTTTGAAAGCCGAAATTGCAAATAAACGACCGTATATGACGAAAAAAATCATCAAGACTACGCACTGTGTCGCAAGTCAACCAACTCAATGGCAAAACCACAAGACATGATTAGAACTTCGAATTGATGCCACATCCGCCGTATTCGCCAGATTTGGATTCCAGCAACTACTGGCTGTTGGCAGACCTCAAAAAATTTCTCACCGGTGAGAAATTTCGCTGGAATAAAGTGGTTATTGCTGAAACTGAGGCCTATTTTCAGGCAAAAGATAAATCATTTTTCAAAAGTGCTATTGAAATGTTAGAGCAGCGCTGAAATGATTATGTGGCTCTTGATGGAGATTACGTTGATGAATAAAGCCAATTTCGAACAAAAGTTAATGAACTTGTCAAAGCCTGATGCTGCTTGCAAGTAAAGAATGTTTTGTTACAACATTTCTTGAAAAAAAACACGTGTTGTATTCCATTTGTATGTACCTTAGGGTGATCCAAAGAAAATCGACTTTTTTTCACTTTCTACTCTGAAAAATAAATTCTCTCCATGTATGAGCTCTTAAATTCAATAGGAAAGTCCTTCTTCTGTCAGCTTTTTATTTTTTCCTTATAATTAGAAAGAATAAGGTTTATCTCGGTAGTTACTATTTGGAAAAAATATTTCGTCTCATACATTCATAGAAAATTGAATTCTCTACAAAAAAATTCTCCTATAATTTTTTTGTAAACGGTAGCGTTCAAAAGTTATTGAAGGTTAACGTTTGATTATTTTCAAGCAGATTTCTTTTATATCATGAATTTTATAACTCGTTAACCAAAATTGTCTCTTATGATTAGTCGATTAAATTAACCGTTTGGAAGATATTCACTGTCAAACTTCAATGCACATTAATTTTAACAGTTTTTGATTAATAATTCAAACAATTGCAATTTAAATTATGAGTTTTGCAGAAATTCATACAAACATGACTTTCTGTAGTGAAGGTAACTATTATAGAATGTCTCTGTTCAAAAATTTATTTGAAATTTATTTTTCTCATATATTATTTTCATAAATTTCATCTTTATCAATCAGAAATCGTGATCATGCTGTTAATTATTTTTGTAGCGTTTTTTCAAAGCAAATTTTCGAAATTTTTTTTCACAATATATAACTAACTACCCATTTCATACTGCATTATCAGTGTTTCTAAATGTCTTCTAGAGCGATAATTTTCATAATGAATTCGTCAGAAAAACGTTGTTATTCTATAAACTCTGTTTAAAGAAACTCAAGTTTATAGGATTTTCATAATTTAAATTGAATTTGTTTGAATTTTATCAATCGAATGCGCATATCATAATAAATTTTTGTTAACGAGTTATAAAATTCATTTAAAAACATAAGTCTACCTAAAAATAATCAAACTTCAACCTTCAATAAGGTTCACAATAAAATTGTAAATACCTTTCTGGTAAAAAATTGAATTTTCTATGAATACATGAGACAATTTTTTGAAATAGTAAATACCGCGATATGAATTTTTCTTTCTAATAATAAGGAAAAAATAAAAAACTGACGCGTAGGACTTTCCTATTTAAATTAGGATCTCGTACTTGGAGAAATTTGTTTTTGAGGTGTCTTCCAACCCATTTTTCAGAGTGTAGTAAAAAAAATAGCCGATTTATTTTACCCACCCTAAGTTATGTATGTTTACTCGTGTGAAATCTAACATCTTCGTCAAATCTAGTACTTTTTATACATTCCCATTATATGGATATCAAATGAAAGGTTTTGCTGAAAAGAATACAAAGAATAAATTGATGTCAGTTATGTTTTTATGCAAAACAAGAAGGCCGCCAAGAAAATTTCAGAGCTATAACTCGGCAAATATTAGAAATAGTTTGGTGGTGCTCGAACAAATGTAGAGATCGACCATACAACAATGGCGCATTAAATGTAATGAACTCGTTAAGTAATATGTCCAGATAAAACTGAAAAAGGAATAAAATTAATCAAACTCATCAATTTATTGAATTATACAACTCATATGATATAGAAAGCTTGTCGAGTAATTTACCAATGTAGATAAACGAGAATACCATATGTAACCTTATTTTGACATAAGTAAGACATAAGAGAAAAATTATGTCTTTCAAGGAAATACTTAACTCTTCATATTAATTTATGATGCAGCATGTGAAACAACTGTTACCTATAGAGAGTATTGAGTAGTATTGAATTGATTGTATCTCTCAGCCAATTAAGCACTACAAATGTCGTTGTTTCTTCATTTGAAATTTGGCTTTTTCTAGTAAATTTTTCATGAAAAGAAATTTAAGAGTGATCGTTCAATAGGAGATTTCACCAGGTTCAATTTCGTGTCCTTTGTTTTCTGTGTGTGGTAGATATGTCGTAGTCGTGGTTGTGTTCTAACAGACGATATTATGCATAAGTTAGTTTGTTATTAGTCAGTGGGCTATGCTTGAAGACAGATAGTAAACAAATCTGAAGAAATGAACTTTAAATGTTCCAGCCAGTCTCGAATATACACAGTAGGTTGAATGGACTGACGCCTATCAGAAAACAACTACTCTCCTGGCTAATACCACGAACGGCGTTGGATTATATCCGACAGGCGTCAGTGCAGGAATCTTCACAGAAAATTTTCTGAATATGCAATTGGCAATATGACGAATATAATCCAACGCCGTTCGTGGTAATTGTATCAACAATTATTCTAATCACCTTTTTCAATATAAACTAGCAATTCTCCAGAGCATGATCCACAGACTCATTAGTATCCCTCTGTTAATAAAGAACTAAATTTAATGAAACAGATGACAGAAAATAACAACTTCAATCCGGACATGAATCATCAGAACCTCGACAAAAAACGGAAGATCAACATAGCATACAAGACTGATAACACGTTAGGTAGACATGAAAAATAACAAACTTAACATCGACAAGCACAAGTAGACATTTCGAAACCACATTCTCCAAACTCAAAATAATTTTCGAATCAATGAAAACCAATTCAAATTATACAAGACATCTGTTAGAAAAAACACGTCTTCGGCATAAACAAAATTTAAATATGCTGGAATCTTTGGAAATTAATAAACGTACACAATCAAAATTTTTATTGAACGACTAACAAAAAATTGATCACTTACCCTTAATATTATTATTATGAATAATTTCTTAAAATTATCTTAAGTAAAAATAATTTTCATGTGCTTTGTATCTTTTGAATACCTGTTCTTATAATAACTACATGTTTACCAATTGGTGATATCTCTTAAGGTCGATAATTTGTATGAAATGAATTGTAAGTAGTGTAGAGTACCAGTCCAATTGAGGAAGCTACTGTTGTAGTGAAACGAGTATTGGAAATTAATTCTCAATTGTGAAAATTTATAATAATTATTATGAAAAGTGTTATTGATTTTCAACAAGTAATGGGTCGGTGTATTCAAAATTATAATGTTGCAATTCACCTTTGGCAGTACGCCAATGCCGCCGTATGCCTTTTCTGAAGTACAATGCCGAAAATATTTTGTAGACGCGATAATCAAGTGAAATGGGGGTTTTTCCATAAAAAATTTCAGAATGTAGCACATTGAATTATACTGATTGAAAATAGTAGGCATTAACTTCTCAGAAATCACTGACGTTTCTGCCTTAATCTATTTCTTGCAGTGGCGTACGGAAATTATACTGAATAGGTGAGGAAAAATTATAAAAATATATAGAATCACAACAATGTTTTCGTTTTGATGCAATAATATTTCTGAGGATTCAGTGCCTACTATCATGAAATTGTACTATAGTCTATTGTTTTCTTGCACGGCCACTTTCCAACAAATGCAAAACCCCATTTGTACACCACTGATTTCGTATTGCCAATATCTATTTCTATTGAAATAATGATATTATGTGTCATTACCTCCGATCAATAAATGAAGTTTTAATTTTCTGTAGTTTCTGAAAATTGCAAAAATTGCATTTTCAACTAGTCTGTCAACACCTTTGCCTTGCTTCAATATGTATATATCATTGTGTCTCATTTTGATTCAAAAATGAAATTCAACTTTTTTCTCTTTTCTGCGGATTTATTTCAAAACGCAATATATAATTTAATACCATTTATTGAATGCAAAAAAGTTAGTTCGATGTAAAATAATTAATAATCCAAGGAGGAATGAATCTGATTATTCTTTATCACTTCTAATTTTAAGTTGATTTCTTAACGTATGTTCTATATATACAGCCGGAAAGTACTTTTGTCCCAAATCATTTATAAAACATCTCTATTTCCAAGACTGGCTGTGATATTTTCCATTGTTGTATGCATTCAGAGAATCGGAATGCCATCCACCACTAATTCGTTCGCTGTAGGCCGTTATGCCACCGGACAAATCATCACTGGATAATCCACCACTGACCAATCCACCACTAACTACTCCGTCGCTCACCAATCCACTGCTAGATAATCCACCACCGATTAATCCACTGCTACCCAGTCCACCGCCGACTAATCCACCACTGACGAATCCACCACTAACTAATCCAGCACTGGCTGCACCGGTCTTCACCACGCCGTGGTCAATATTCTTGTAAGTGTGAACATATTTGCGTTCTTTGACGTATACTGGTGTGGGTACCCTCACTTGTACGGGTGTTGGTACTTGGACTGTATAGGGTTGTGGCACTGAGACGGGTACAGAAACTGGAACCTGAAAAAATGACACGAATGATCAAACTGATGTTCTATATACATATACAAATGAGAATGCAACTCACTTTAACAACTACTCGTCTTTCTACTTCAACTGGTACTGCTTTGGAAACCTCAACTGGATATGGCCTAGGAACTTCTACGGGAACCCTAACTTCGACTGGAACTGCTACAGGTCTTGGTACTTTAACCTCGTATGGTCTGGGTACTTCTACTGGAATTCTCACTTGAACAGGCACCGAATAAGGCCTTGGTACTTCTACGGGTACAGGATGTGGCACAGGTACAGATTTGGTAACTGTTACAGGGTATGGTTGGGGTACTCTTATTGGTACGTGTTGAGATACTTGGCGGTATTCATGCGAATGAGAAATTGGATGTTGTTGGTAAGAAGCGGCTCCCAATCCATAGCTTGATGCAAGAGCTGCACCAAGTCCGTAGCCGGATACGCCACCTAATCCATAACCGGAAGCACCACCTAATCCGTAGCCGGAAGCACCACCGAGTCCGTAGCCGGATACGCCACCTAATCCGTAACCCGAAACACCACCTAATCCGTAGCTAGATGCTGTAAATTGAAAACAACATATCATTTACTTCAAGTTTATGAATAGAATTTTAGGTATACCCTTCATTTTTTAATGCGTTTGATGAAGATGAAAGAGTATGTTCTCATCACCAAATATTTCCCAAAATTCATATTCATTAAATTATTGAAGTTCATATTACTTTCCAGCAGCTTAACTGCATTAACCTTCCTTTATTAAATATGTATATATACAAAAACAATTTCTTGATGGTGAGAATTGTACCATAATTTATTGAACCAAAAACGCTTTCAAATGAGTAATATATGATATGATACTTACAACTCAGCCCGCTAATGCTCCCAAAACCGGCATATGCGCTGATTCCTCCTATTCCATCATCAAGGAGGCCAATACTGCGTTTCGGTTTCTCCTGTGACTTATCCAGTCCAGTTTTTGTTTTTTCAGCAGCATTTACTGCTGACACAGTAAGGAGAGCCAAACACTACAAAAATCATTACGTATATTTATATATATTTTCAACCCTCAGTGAGTGAACTTTGATTTTCAGTATTCCAAAAATAATTAAAGTCCTATGAAATTGGACTACTAACGAATGAAAATTAAAGGAATACTTACAAATTATTATCTTTTGTTCGAGAAATTGTTAGGATCAGTTGGTGTTTGGGTAATCACTTTTTTGTGTCACAAAATGTATGCAACTCAATTTTTTTTCTGAAATACGTTTAAAATATTCTCTCTCTCTCTCAAAGAGGATGTTAGTCAATTTTTATTGATGATAATAATGAAACTATATAGATTGAAAATTCTTTCGAATTGCGGTACTAATATTCATTCTTGAAATAATTGTTTTGCTACTTACCAAAAACACTCTCATTTCTATAGAGTTGAACCAACTACTGAAGTTTCAAATGAAAATTGTTCTTTTATATTATCTAACTTGATTAGTTGGATAGATTTTGAAGGACGATCGCTTCCAATTAAATATTACCTTATTGAAAGAATTCAGATTATCTGCATATACCAAAACGAAAAAAAAACTATTAGGATTTGCATGGTTATTCATGATATGAGTTGGAATAGATCATGATGGTTTAAATTAGTTTTCTGACCTATATCTAATCGTCATGTTTCCATTATCTATTTATTTGATTTACCAACTAAACATATAAAGTTGATTCTAGGAATAGAAAAAAAACATGAAGCTCGTGAATTAACCATATGGATAAGTCATATCATTTCAGGATAAGAAAATTATTAAATTCATTTCTCCTCCTTTTTTTTATGAAAATAATTTTTATTTTCACGTTTTCGGATAACTGAGGAAACTTTTGTACCGTATTACTATAACTTATAAACAACAAAAGGAATACTTTTTTTTTCTGAAAACAAATGGTATTCATACTCAGTGAAATCTACACATACAGATATAGACATAACTTGATCAATTTTTGACTCCAACTCACTGAATTTTTGTTTGAAAAATCCTGACACAGTGTCAGTGTCTAACAATTTAGCAAAAATCTTGCATTAAACATATTAGAACCTCATTATTAGTAGTATGGTCTCTCGCTCTGCACTAGGTGTTTACATTACTCAACAAATCAGGTTTATCATCTCACAATAGATCAAAAATGGATTCATACATCCAGTCTTCAGTCGTAAGAAATTTGAAGCAGTTTAATCATAAATTTTCAGGAGCAACATTCATGTATTAGCAAGACATTTTCATGTATAGGATGGGCCAGTTTAACAAGGTCAATTTCTCATTAACAGTAATTGGGAAAAAACTTTTTTGGGCCCATCGGTTTTCATTTACTTGAGGAAACTTTTTGGGCCCATTATCAATCTTCCTCGGTGGGGTGAAATTCAACCTTCGAATCTTAAATGGGATCAGGAATCAAGCAGTACCTCAACGCTTTCCACCATTTTCATTTTATGGGGCGGATGTCCAAACAGACGTTTTGAAATTATTAATGAATTAGCTTTTATTGGGTTTTTGTCTTCACAAAGAAGATATAATCAAATTTACAAATTTGCCACTAGTGCACTTGATAATTTTTCACTTCAACATGTGTTCAAAATAATGGCCTCCTGCTCAACACAGTGATGTAGATTTTGAGTGATCGCATAAAAAATATAACGGATTCAAATCTGGTGACTTTGCGGGCCACTCCACTGATTCTCTTCTACCGGTCCACTAACCAGAAAAGGCTTCATTCAAATACTCACCAACAGCAAGGGTATACTGAAGTTTCAATTCATTTTCATTGTAGCGGTCATTATGTTCAATTATCTCTGTTATTGCAGAATTGACACTGTCTTATATTAATTGCAAATACATTTCTCCTGTAAGATTGTCGTAAAAAAAAAGACAAATAACTTCGCCCTGAATTCCAGCTCCTCAGTATTTCAAATATGAACTTGGCTTGATAAGTGCGAGTTTTCATCAGACCAATACCGATAGTTGTGAAGATTAACAACAATCTAAGACACATCTGAGAAACAAATGTTGAACGAGTCTAATCACGTATTTTCGGTTAGGATACTTATTCGGATTTTGGTCATTGAAAAACTATGCTTTCATATTAACGCACCTACAATTTTTTTAATGGTTCAAAGTTCAATTATCGAAAATATTTCTGTAGTGCAATAAATAATTTCGAGCAAATTAATAGATCGAAATAGTCATAGTGAGATAATTTTTGAATTGAAATCGGGCTATTATTCTGGGAAGTTAGTATTTGAAGTTAAAAGACCTTTTACATTTGTTCATTGTCATATTTTTCAATAACGCTTTCATCTTGAAAGCCACTTCATCAAATTCAAAAAAGTGGGAAGCATTGAAAAGAAAAATTTATGACTTTTCAATTGAGATATCGCTTGACCCCTAATACCATTTGACGGTTAGATTTTCAGGCTTATTGTCAATAGAAGCAATACATTTTCCCTTTGACATAAAAATAGACGGGTCAGGGCGATTTTTTTTGAATATTACGATAAATTGGGCTTGTTTCAATTTCACTGGCAGACCCTGTATAAACTCAATCATAATATCTGTATGCACAATTTGTAAGCTTTTAATGAAAAATATTACTTCTCAAGATTCAAAACTTGCGACATACGACTTCAGACTGGTGCTTAAATCCATTCTTAGCGTTATTAAATTATTAATTAGTTGATGATAAACCTTACTTTGCTATAATCAAGCTAACGTCCTGCCTGGCAGTGAAAGTATCTGTATACTACCTTTATTCATTCATTCAATATGTCATTATATATTGGAAAGATGTATTCACCTATATTTTTATTTATAAACTTCTTTCTTATAACTCATAGGAACAAAAATAATTTCATTCACAACCATTCAATTAGACAAAGCAAAAGATTAAGATTAGAAAAACTGAAATCAATCACTTATTCAGGTTTTTCAATCCTTTTTCTGTAGAGATGAAAGTGTGATTTACTGAGAAAAACATTTTATATATCCATACAACAGGAGATGAATGGAAATTGAAAAATAAGGCTTTACTCTACTCCTAACTTGGTTATGAAAACGTGCTTCGAAAGTGTTCTGGTAATGGAGTGTGAGAGAAGATTTTTCATCATAATTCAATATTAATTGGCTCATTCAGTATGACCAGTAAAACTTCAATTTTGTTAGATACTTTTTCATTATAAGGAAGTGAGTAGTATTTAACACTTTCATATTTCTAACTACTAGATTATTTACACTTTCTCTTTTATTTTCGTGGTAAAATACTTTCCTTAAGTGATCTTTGTATAAAATTATTTTTTATTATTATTTTTTCATGAAAGTAAATAATATTGCTTCCCTGAAAACTGTAACATTTCTCAGGTTTTAATTGATTTTTTATGAAATACGTAATGTATCTTTATGAATTTGCAGAAATTTAATACTGTTATATTTTCCAATTCAATATTAAACTGTAATTTTGGATAATAATCGTTGTAATTTATCCTTTCGGACAGCAATTCAAGGCGGATCAAGTAGATAATCAATTGATTTTGGGTTGTGCGTTGGGGTCCATGTAATTCATCATAATGTATTCCATTATAACATTAAAGGAGATAAATCGCAATGCATCATAACGCTACAAGATCATAATCGTAATATATAGAAAAATGCAGAGAAACGTAGCCATCATAATCGCAATTCATCATAACGTTAATCAGCAGAACGTACTTTGTTATAATGTACAAATTCATAACGTACTTATAGAAACGTTAACCGATCATAATCGTAATGCATCGTATTCACATTGTATCATATAAACTCAATGTATCATATCGCTAAAGCATAGAAACCGTATTGTACACAATCCGTATTTTATCATAACCGTAATGTATAGAATACGTAAAGTATCATAACGTAATCCATCGTAATTCGGTTGCGAGCGCATCAAGTCTGTCCCACAATAGCTTACCGGTGCCATAGTCGATGGGCCGACCACAAATATTCTAAGCAGAATAATCATTCTTAGCGGAAATTTGCTATACTACGTAGCGTAGAATTTATTTCAAATGCATTCTACTTTGAGTTTCATCAAATATAACCAAAATTATGTCGATTTAATTGATATTTGGAACTCATCTTAAACGTTGTCTAATTTTTCATTGATAGTGGGACTGTTAATGAAAGATTCAGTATAATTACCAGAGAGATGATTGATAATAATTATTATGATAATTAATTCATATCATTTTCATTCCCATTAAACATATGCAATAAAGACATATTCTAGTAGATATCAGGTATTTCAAAATGACCGATCAGATACATTATATCTGTTCATTTGTTTGAAGGTGATTGGCAATGTTTCATGATGAATTTCATTAGTTCGGATTTCCATTGTCTGATATTATATAAAATGATTTGAAATCCCTGAAAGAACTAAAAAAGAAAACAAATTGAGTTCAAAGACATAGCGAATAGTCTCGAAATGCATTTTGAATATGAAAAATATTTGCTGAGCAATCATGTAGGAAAATTCAAATAGAAGTAAAGGGAATGAATCGAATGTGGACTAAAAAACAAACACAAATATTGTTCATTATCCAACAAACCATTCATAAGATTACTTTGCATAGTTGAAATAGGAATGTATTCCAATTCTGGAGTCAGCAAACTTAACTTCTTCAAAATTTATTGTTGTTCAGAAGTCTCATGATTCGTGGGATAGAAAAGTATCATTATCAAATCATTATTGTGTTGTGTTGAACTAGATTTTTTAAACTTTTTTACTGTAAAAAATAGCAACCTATTTATGCACTAGCACTAGTAAGTACAGTTTATCGCCATCGTTACACTATTCAATCCGAAGCCATAAACACTTTTACGTTACGCCCTTGATGAATAATAATGAAAAAAGTGAGAGTTACAAACACGAGCGTTGGTTCAAACATTTCTCATCAGCCTATTTATAGTGATACTAAGATATCTGTGGTAGCTATGGTTTGTTTACAAACAGGTATTGTTTTCACATGGTTATTCAAATGAAATAAAAGGACCATGACGATATAAACTTTTGACAAAGATAATGAATATTGAAAAAATCACATAGGAGCAAAATTGTACTGAATAACCCCCCACTGGAAAAATCCCGAGCCCGAAGAAATGATTGACATTTACTTTTCTGTGTCATTCAGCAATAAATAGATGAAATCTAAATAAAAATAGAGCATTATATTATTTAATAGATGTGTATTGTAAACAGATGAATTAAAATTCTGATAGATATATTGTGGAACAGAAACATGAACTCAATAACTTGGTATTTCAATAATTAACACAAGAATATTTAAACATACTTCCTATTTTCATTCAGCAATAGATGGAATCTAAATAGAGTATTGTATCATTTAATAGAAGTG